CCAGCTCCTGCAGATAGAGTGACGTCGCCGACGGTGGACGGAGGCCTGCGGCTGTTCCTGCGTGCACCATGCCGGTCCAACGCTTTGCCGTTCTTTTCGTTCCGGCATCTCCTTGAGGCCTCCTTCGGTTATCTGATATTAATTGCCGCACATCTCCTCCTCAGATCTGGGCAGACGCTCAGGCGACGCTCTCCGCGCCTCCTCCTTCCCTTCACTCCAGCGGCGGCGGTGTCTCCTCCCCGACGCGCCCGCTCGGGCGTCGCGCCCCGTGCCCTGCTCCCACGTGTTCTAGCGGCGGCTCCACCTCCTCCTCGGTCCCCTCCAGCAAGACGGTCCAGGAAGAAGATGAACAGGCGGCTGCATCAGCTGGGGTGTTGGATCTTGATCCAATCGCTGAGATGGTCGTCTGAAAAAAAAAATCCAAATTTCAGGCGCCTGGATTATAGCAATTCCCTTAATTCCGATAATCTGAGATTAATTCCCGCCGAACGTTCTGGTTCACAAATCTTAACTACGGAAAAATAGTTTCAAACCTGTCAAAGATTAAGCCCCGGCTCTGGGGTCAACAAAAACAAAAAAGAGAGATAGGGTTGTTTTGTTTGGACACTGCAGTCAGATAGACTATCTCCAACAACAACATCTAAAATATAAGATCTATTCAACGTTTAGATAGTGTTACAGTCTAAAATATAAGATCTATTCAGCGTACTGAGTACTGTAGCTTAGGAACGAAAAAGGCAAGATGTAAGGAACAAACAGCTGTTCTAAATCATACTGCAACAGCCACCATTAGAGGCGTTGATTAGCAAATGCTAGAAAAAACCCGCAAATGGCCACATTCATATTTAGCAACAAATTAACACTAGCAACCAATTAAGATTAACAACTACACACCGCTCGTTTCTTATCTCAAGTTTGAAAACTAAGAAGAAGAAAGCATCTAATAGTTATCAGGTCGTGACCTCTCGGATCTGGGGCCGTCAGACGTCCGGCGGCGAGCAGTCGGGGCAACGGACGAGGCCGTTCTCGTTACATCCGGCGCAGGTGCGGAAGCCGCCGCCGCCCTTCACGCTGTACCGCTTGTGGCTGCCGTTGCAGCTGCCGCAGAGCACGTACCGCTCGCCGCCGCACCGGCCGCAGGCGGCGAGGGAGGCGGCGACGGCGCCGGCCACGACGCGGCGGAGGTCACCGGCCTCGTGGAGGCGCCGGACCTCGTCGGCGCCGCCGAGGTGGCGGCCCCCGACGAAGACCTGGGGCAGCGTGATGCGCCGCGGGGACGCGAGGCGTGGGAGCAGCGCCGCGAGCTCCTGGAGGTAGCGCGGGTCCATGGCGAGGTCGCGCTCGTCGACGGCGACGCGGAGCCCGCGCAGGATGGCGCGCACGGCGCGGCAGTCCTCGTACGTGCTGCGGACCACGTGGAGCGAGGTGAAGTAGAGCACGACGCGGCGGTCGGCCTCGGAGGCGGCGGCGGCGCCGCCGGCGGAGGACAGCGGCGCCTGGTGGGTGCGGAGCGCGCGGAGGGCCGAGGCGGCGACGCGGACGCGGTGAAAGACGCGGACGGAGGAGGAGGAGGGGGAGCAGGTCGCGGCGGGCGGCGGGGAGGGCGTCGCGGCATCGGACAGGAGGAGCGCCTGGAGGTCCTTGAGTGAGGGAGATGAGAAGGACAGGCGCGGTGAGGCGGCGGCGATGAGATCTGGGCGGACGCCTGAGATCTGGGCGGACGCTCAGGCGACGCTCTCCGCGCCTCCTCCTTCCCTTCACTCCAGCGGCGGCGGTGTCTCCTCCCCGACGCGCCCGCTCGGGCGTCGCGCCCCGTGCCCTGCTCCCACGTGTTCTAGCGGCGGCTCCACCTCCTCCTCGGTCCCCTCCAGCAAGACGGTCCATGAAGAAGATGAACAGGCGGCTGCATCAGCTGGGGTGTTGGATCTTGATCCAATCGCTGAGATGGTCGTCTGAAAAAAAAAATCCAAATTTCAGGCGCCTGGATTATAGCAATTCCCTTAATTCCGATAATCTGAGATTAATTCCCGCCGAACGTTCTGGTTCACAAATCTTAACTACGGAAAAATAGTTTCAAACCTGTCAAAGATTCAAGCCCCGGCTCTGGGGTCAACAAAAACAAAAAAGAGAGATAGGGTTGTTTTGTTTGGACACTGCAGTTAGATAGACTATCTCCAACAACAACATCTAAAATATAAGATCTATTTAACGTTTAGATAGTGTTACAGTCAAAGGTTCAATAACCATTCGACATCCTCTCCAACAACAGGATACAAAAGAGAATGATTTCTATAAATGAGTTTTCAGAAAAAAAGATACTCATATTTGGGTTATGCCTCTACGACAATCTAAAATGGGTCTCTCATGTAGGTATTGTATCGAAGGCTGATTTTGAGTCTTCTGTTAATTATTTTGGGTTTGATGTCGTGTCGGTCACCTGCCGGAGACGGTCTTAGTAGCTCCCTGAGCTTGAACTGTACTAGAATAGTAATAACCAGCCACTGCACCTAATCCATTGCTCCGGTGTCAATCTGATCCACGGCGCCCGTCGGACCGAACGCGCACGGGGACGGCACGTGTGGGCCGACGCGGAACGCGCTGGCGCGGGGAGATGGTTGGTCGGCGCTGATCCAGCATCTGGAACGGCATATTCTGATGCCCGCACAGCCGCACTGCTAAACTACTCGCTACGGTACAGTTCAGTGGGGCGGCACCCAACCTCAGGTGAGGTGAGCACAGGCACAGCACAGCACAGCGCCGCAACGGCGACGAGATCCGGCGAGCTCATTGGCTATTTGGCCCTGTTTGTTACGAGCAAGAGCAAATGAGCAATATATGGCCACTGGCTGTTCTTTTACTCAATAATACGCCGGCTTATCGAATCTCGCCCGTGATTCTCGTAGGTCTATGCTAATGGTGGTACCCGTACACACTCTTGTCTTTTATGTTTGTGTAATTGTGTTGGTACCTGTTGATCCAGATCTGACCTCCCCTTTTCTAAAAAAACAAAAAATGAAAAGACACCGTACTTGTAATGCTTGTAGTCTAGAACTTCGATGATATGGGCGCTATACAACACTGAATTATAAAAAGATTATGCCCACAGTTTCTAGCCTTGGATCCATCAAAATTTTCCCCTTTTCTTCCCCTACCTCCCACGTCTCCTCCTAACACCTTTAATTATGCTCTTACTTTATTCCAGATCATAGTACAGTTCATGTACACGCACACGCACACGGCCCTAGTAATTTCGAGATAATGAGTTAACAGAACATGAGATTGACGAAGCTATTATAGACACCTTGTTGTCAATACTAATATAAGAGCATTCTCAGCAATAGAGTCAACTTACTAGCTCATATATTTTTTTTAAAAAAAATAGAGTAATCTAAACATGTTAGTATAGAAAAATGTGTAAACACAGACAAATGAATCATAGAAATTTTTTGTGAGTTTAGCTTTTAATGAAGAGCTGGCTTATCATTCGTTCTCCCTATTTTTCATTGAATAAAATATTCTATGAGCAATGAGCTAGCTCTTTTAATACCCTTGGAGTTGTCCTAATCGTGAGCTTACCCTATGATATGTGTTGTTAGTCTTTAGTGGACATTGCACTCCCTACATTCTAGAAGGACTGAAATTCCACTTCCTAAGAAGTCAACAATTCTAATTTTGATCAAATATACAAAAAAAAAATCATCACAAAAAATATATACAAAAATTACTAATAATTACGATGTATGACACTATGACTAGATTATTCATGAAGCATGTTTTCATAATAAATGCATTTGAAGATTTAAACATGACGATATTTTCTAAACTTTGTTAAATTTAAAATTGTTTCACTCCTAGGTGAACAGTACTCTCATTCCACTCGGACGGAGGAAGTACTTGGTTACCGTTCATCACCCATCTATCCACCACCGTACGGTCAGACTTTCTGTTGCAATTGAAGATTTTCAAGCGAACCTTTAACAAAGAGGGGGTCAAGTTTGACGTGGACGAGGAAAACATGTGAAGGACGAAGAGAAAGAGGGATTTTTACCACGGCAAATCGTAGCTCTATGCAAAGAAAACAAACACCTTCTTAGACGAATTACAGCTTCCCTTATGTATCCATGTCTGCTTGTCACCAACAAAGCATACGCTCGTACAGTGCCGGGAAGGTCGTCAAGAAAATCACTTTCCTTTTATTATTGGCAAGCGAAATTTCCACTCTCACGGATGGAATTGATACTGCAGTATCTCTCCGCTGCCTCCTAGTCAAACCGTCCTCCGTCCATTTCCCTGTCACGCATTGAATAATGTGATTCCTTAAAAATAAACCACTACGGCGAAACAAACAATGCTGCATACGTGTGCCATTTTAGCCCGCACGATCAGGTACAAAACCGAGTTATTAGCAGTTCTTTTACAGAGCACACTTGCCATCAAAGAAATGGCACATGGATAGCAGTATAGCACCATTTTCCAGCCTTTCAGGGGGTAAGAAAAGCCGCGCAATGATATACTCGTAGTAGGAGGAAGCAACAAATGATCTGATGATCAGACGGCCCAGCGTTGATGGAGGTCCCAAGGCGACGTCTCTCTCCGGACAGCGATGCCGCTGGCCGTTGGTAGGTAGTTGGACGCACAGCTGGCCGTTCCGATCAGGAGCGGCAAAGGTTGCCGTCAAGTGCTGCTATCGCCGTTAACTCCGTTGCCTTTTTGTTTAAGCAACAGCCAATGGCAATAGCAGGCGCTGTACGGAGGTGTGCCGGCACCGGCTTGCTCGGTGGTGCCTGCACGGCGCACGCTGCAGGCCCCCCGGGGGGCCCCCGGGCGCTATAAAAAGGGCCAGCCGGTAGGGGAGCAAGGAGTCCACGGAATTGAAAACCCACCGCACCCTTTCAACCTCTCTTCCCTGACCTCGCCGAGGCACAGCGCTTTCACTGTTGCTGTGGTGACTTCCTCCGCCCCGCTTGCCTCCCCTCCGCTCCCGAACGGCCGGTCTTTGCATGGCAGCAGCAGCTAGCTCCAAGGGGCGGGCGATCGCTGGAAGCTTCGTCAGCCGCGTCCTGGGCGGCAAGGCCGCCTCCCCGAGGTACTGAGACACGCGGTTTCGGCTTGCCCTGTGATTCTGTGTTTGTTCACCTGCTAGTACTATGTTTGAGGATGCTTGTTCTTGTTCAGTTCGTCCAAGATCTTGTGGTAGTTGTAGCAGAGCCATCTGTTTGCTTTGAGTAGGCTCGGACAGTGCTTCCAGATTTGCAGCTCACTGCACCTTTTTTTTCCTTCCGATTTTGGAGGATCTTAGCTTTGTGGATAACTCTGATTCAGTGGCAAGATTTTGCCCAGCAGAAAATCTACTAGCAACAGTAGAAGGGTTATCATCTTCTGACATGGTGTACGTAGATATGGCAACCCTCTGCTTTGGGAACATCGACAGCTTTGTTTAGGGCGCGTTTAGATTAAATTTTATTTTAGGTTTCACTTTCGTTTGTACCAGGTAATTATTGTCTAATTATGGACTAATCAGTTCGAAAGTTTCGTTCCGTGATTTCTCACCTAATTATGTAATTAATTTTTTTTCTACGTTTAGTATTATATATATATATATATATATGCCGCAAGATTCGATATGATCTACGCAAGATTCGATGTGATGGTCCTCCGACCGTAGAACACGATAATAGAGGGGCCGAGGGGGAGCACCTGGAACTGAAAGCCTGGCACAGTGCCACTTCACCGTGAGCTTCCATCATCCTTGTAAAGCTAGAAACCCTTGCACCTCCTAATGAAGCTAGATCCATCATCCTTGTAGTCATGTCTTCATCAAAAGGTCAGTAATCTTAAGTTTCACTAGGCTTGAAAAAAATCTCAACATTTATACGTCAATAGACATAAACATTAATATTTTTGAATCTGATTTTTTTTCTATATTTATCTGAACTTAAGATAAAATTGATCGAGCGCTTTCCACAGTAGATATTTGTTCTGCCGTTCAGCCCACTTCAGACTGTCAAATCTGCAAGACTGTCCGTCAGTCTCTGCGAGGGAGGAAGGAAAAGCCAACGCCACGCCACTCCGGCACTCCCAGTGGCCACTGGCAGTGGCAGGGCTGGCGCACCCACACAAAGAAGATGAGGAGGAGCAGTGGAGGCACGCAGGACGGTGCACGTCAAGCCGCGCAGCAAGCGACCCACCCACCTCCATCGCTTTCCGAAAATCGGGGGCGGATGGGTCTGGTGCGCGGTAGTTGTCGCTCCACCCTCGCCAGTGGCCACTGGCCAGTCATCACTCCCATCTACCCGCTGCCGACCGATCTGCCATGGCTCGCTTGGTTTGGTGGTTCTCACTCAAAGGATCCCCCCTCCTCCGTATGACGGTGGGGCCAGGACATGAAGCATCCGCGTCAGCTGGGCCCCACCGGCCGTCCTTTCGCGTCCGGTCCGTACGATTCCCCCTTTCGATCCCATCGCGCGCGCCGGGCCGACGACCGATCGGGGCCGTCCGTCGCTGGGGCCCTGCAACACCTCACACCCCAATCGGACGGTGTCCGACGCGCCGTGGCTCTGTTGTAGCGGACGTGGTACGGTACGCGGTGGAGGTGAGTGCCTGAGTGGGGATGGACCTCGCTCCTCGACCTGTTTGCCTCAACTTATCAGAAGGAATCTATATTATTTTTCTCTTATAATAATATAATAAAATAGTTTGAGCCGGCTGATGTATCAGTCGAAAAGAGCCCTGCGTGTCCTCTTCCCCATTTGCGTGTGCAGCCCTGCCTTGCGTGGAACTCGGATCGTGATACGAATGTTATTGCGTCAATTTGTCCGATGCCATTCCGTATTTTTAGCCCTTTTCTTGAAAAAATATTTACATTTAGGTCCTTGACGGTTTTAATTTCGTTTTTAAAAAAATATTCTGATTTTTTCAGACCAGCCAGCTGCTTCTTTCATAAATCATTGTGCATATTTTAGCCGCTATAGTATTTTTCACACAACTAGTCAGTTTCAGCTAAGTTTTAGACCAGCAAACAGGACTTTAGACCCTATGCTTGGCGCCATGGATCATGGCGTCGTGAGTCATGATGCCAAGATTGGATACGCTGCCAGCCGAGCTACCTGATCAAGAGTTGATGTGGCACCAAGTTTCACCGAGCTTGGCGTCGAGCAATAGCAACTGGCGCTATTTTTTTTTTCTTTTCTTTGCACCCGTCAACATCAACTGTGCTAGTATGGTGGCCTTGAGAGCAAGTATTATAAGGTTGACTCAGCCGGCTGAATCCAGGCCACGTAGGAAAAACATATGACGCGGCAGAGAGAGAAACGGAGAGAGAAAGCGAGCCGGCGCTCTACTCTTCGCCGGCATAGAGCGGGTGCATGCACAATTTTTGCAGCTTTGGGTTCCACCACTACCGGTTTCATTACTCCCATTGGTTCTCATGGCTGCTGGAAGACGGTGGGCATTAAATGAAGGTGGAGCCCGCCACCACCTCCTTCCCAGGCTTGCGTGACATGGCGTTTCTTACAGCCGGCAGTCGGCGGTTCTATTAACCATGCTCTGATGGTTCCTGACCTCCATCAGCCATTCCATCCATCAACGTCAACAGCTATTGTCCCTAGTCCAAGTTGCTTCTTAAAAAAAAAGTGAAAAGTTGCTACTACTAGACTGCTACTGTTCACACCTGACTGGCTCGAAATTAATGCAACGAACTGACCGTACGTGTCACTCCTACCGTCCTACCTAGCTCTGGTTTAGTTGGGTGAATTTAAATTTTTGGGCTACTGTAGCACGTTTGTTTTTATTTAGTAAATAGTGTTCAAAACATGGACTAATTAGGCTCAAAATGTTTGTCTCGCAATTTTCCACCAAACTATGTAATTAGTTTTTATTTTTGTCAACATTTAATGCTCCATGCATAGGCCGCAAACATTCGATGTGACAGGTACTGTAACAACTTTTTGGACTTTGGGGTCCAACTAAACAAGGCGTTAAGCCCTGTTTAGATCCCACCCAAAATCTAAAATTTTTCAAGATTTCTCGTCACATCAAATCTTGCGGCACATGCATGGAGTATTAAATGTAGGTAAAAATAATAACTAATTATACAGTTTGCTCGTAATTGACGAGACGAATCTTTTAAACCTAAATAGTCCATAATTAGACAATTTTTACCAAATACAAATGAAAGTGCTATAATAGTCAAAAGCTAAATTTTTTCGCATCTAAACAGGCCTTAGTACATGGAAGCAAGTATGATAAGTTTAGAATTGATTAATACAATTTATCAATCTCCAAAATCATCAAAATAATATTTCTAAATAATACAAACACAAACACAGTGTCTAGTTCACATCATGGTTTTATTATACATTGTTTTGCACCCTGTTCCTTATGTTTGCGCATGGGGTCCTTTTCGTGGTTTTTTGTCTTCTACTCCCTTTGTCCCAAAATAAACGACGTTTTGGGTTTTCGTGCCACAAGTTTGACTCGATTTGTAGAAAATACGTGCAATATTTACATCTTCAAATAAATTTGTTAAAAAACTAGACAAAAAGATCTTTTCGATGATACTAATTACTTAGCATAAATATTTATATATTTTAATATATAATTGCCAGTACGTATTTTGGGACTTTTGGAATGTAGGAATTTTACAGAAATTATATAGAAAATTTATAGAAGAATGGAAAACAAATCATGCGTTCTAAAGGGGCCTAAAAGATCTGAATGATTCAATATTCGTTTTTAACATCAATATAAATATGGATTATAATGGGGTGTTCGGCTGCTGTATCTGCAGTACAGAGAGAGAAAAAGCACAACTGCAGCATTAACTGCTGCTTAGGCTCGTTTGGCGGGTCTTCTTCACCAGTTTACTAAATGTTTACTAAAATGGCTTCAGCTCCACCGGTGAAGCCGTTTGACATTGAAACTCCATGCTAATTTAATTTTCTAAATAAATATACATGAATTAATTTTATATTATTTTATTTATCTGATTCTAGATCCTTATTTTAAAAAATGTAAAATATTCGACATTGAAACTTTGTACTAATTTAACCTCGTACGTAGCTAGCAACAAATTTTTAGTACTGATTTAGTTAATGCATGAGTTACATAAATGTGTGGTTATCTCTCATTATTATGTAACTTTGTGATAATTTAGTTAATGCGGGCGTCACACCTTTTACTCCATGCATGCCCATGCAGCCATGTCTTGTCTCTCTCTTCGTGGAGTAGCTCTTGTATTAGATTTCGTTCCCTAAAGCAGCTAGTACCCGTAGCAGCTCAGAGACTCAGACATCGGGTAACGTAATCATCCAAGGCCACCATACTAGCATAGTTGATGTCGATGGATGCGAAGACCAAAAAGTAACGTGAGTTGCCAGAGCTCGACGCCCCAAGCTCAGCACACCATTGGTGCCACATCAGCTCTTGATCAGGCGAGCTGCCGGCACATCCAACATCGGCGCTATGACTAACGGCGCCCGTGCACAGGATCTGAAAACAAAATTAAAACCGTCAAGGCTGTAAATGTGAATATTTTCAAGAAAAGGTCTAAAAAATAAAAATTTCGGCGCCGTTGTGTTAGCTGAGGTTTTGGGATTTTTTTTTCTGTCGCCGTTCGGATCTTGAAGTTCTCTTGTAGTCTTGTTACGGGTGTTCACCAATATTCATTGGGTGACGTGTTTCCGTGTGCAGGAGGGCCGTGCACGCCTCGGCGTACGACAAGAACCTGGAGGAGCAGGTGCGCCCGGCGTTCGTGCCGGACGATGTGATCGGCGGCGCCGGGAACCCCGACAAGTACTGGAGCCCGCACCCCAAGACCGGCGTGTTCGGCCCGGCGGCGGTGGACCCCAAGCTGGCCGCTGGCGGCGCGCCGGACGCCGCCGCGAATGCTGCGGGAGGCACGGTGCTGGACCAGAAGGTGTGGTTCCGCCCGCTCGAGGACGTCGAGAAGCCGCCACCCGTCGCCTGAGTGAGCCGCGCGGCACTGTGCCAGCCCACTGCTGATAAGGAGAGCCTGGCGCTGATACACCTAGTAGTGCTTGATAGCAGTGTGGCTGTGCTAATACCAGTATTATCAATATAAGTATATATAATACTGGTTTTATAGTACTACAGTAGTGTCAGGCATGGATAGTAGCAACGTGATGCTCGTGCCTGTAATAAGAACAAGCAGGAGATGTGTGCCTGTGCTGCTTGTGCCTGTGATGTACCGGTGTCGTTCTCAGTGTTATAAGTACTTGGGTCACTGGTTTGTGCATGTTTTGTCACCATCATGCAGTTCATATATAGTCGATAACCACTATGCTCGCCTAGAGGATCAAGATGTTACTGAGATTATTAATACAAAAAACTAGACTTTATAATGATCCAGCAACTTAGATTAAACCAAATATCCCCACACCGTGTTTTCCCCTTCATGTTCTCTGCCAGAATGTCTCATCTCGATATGTTCCTTACAACTTCAATTAACTAGCAGATGGCGTAACATTTCTCATCAGATGGCTTCAACTTTGGTTCCACTTTTGCTCTAATTGGTGCGCAGATGGATAGTCAGGAGCTGACTCAACGGAACAAATCATGACAAATAACTACTCGAGCTACAAATTGGAGGAGTCTCTATATTTTTATAATAAGTGTACCATGATGCATTCTTAGAAGAGGATTCTGAAGCTAGAATTTCATCCATTATCTAAAAGAAATAGCTTCTACGCTAAGAAACATATATACAAATGATATCTATACATAGTATAGATGGATGCAATGGGTACAAATGGAGAGTTGACCAATATAATGAAACAAAGAAATAAACTATTTCTAAAAATCATTTGAAGTAAGGAAAATCCAAATGTTATAGTAGAACAAAGCTAGGTACCCAAGAATCAGATCAGTTGCAGCGGTTCACAAAATGTCTAAAACCTATCTTTTCTATGTGTTATCGGTAAGCAATCATTTGTCGGCAAAGCATGGTTTCAAAATGGCAAAATTCTGGATGATTCCACCGAATTTTTAAATTACGGCATAAAGTTTCAATGTACCATGAGCTATCTTTAGACGGGTACATAAACAATTTCTTGGTTTGGTTTTATCGATATATGCGAACATATTTCTGGCCAAAGTATTCTTCCCTATCAACACCAAATCCAGGTAGTGTCTGTCCACCACATGCCCACACCAGCTATTACCGCTAAACATTATAGCTTGCTTATTAATCAATCACGTGGTAGGCTATTAGACCAACCGAAATCCACTTCAGTTAAAAATTTTCTGATCATATTCTATCCATCTATTTCTTAAATATCTAATATCAAAGATTCAAAGAGCGCAAATTTCTTCTTCCGCCGCTTCTAGAAACTGAACTCGGGCCCATCCTCCTTCCTCCACATGTCAATAAATATAATCCATATCCGAAACGACAACCTTGCCCTTATACCATCCGTGTCCACCCAGGCTTTGTATTCGTGCTCATAAGAGTTAGAGCAACACTTATCCAACAATAGTATGAACTACGATTTCAAGACATATTGTGGTTTGTTGCAACGCTAGAGCATCTTGTGCTAGTTATTAGTAAATTCCACTTTCCTACACCTATGGAGACTTTCACGAAACTTTAGCAGTACCAGCTAACGTCGGCTGAGATTTACTTCAGGGCTTGGTTTGATGCACTTACCTTAATCCATGTATATTGGAACGTACTGGGGTGGTTTCTACCCATCCACTTCAACACATATGGACTGAGGTGAACACGAATGCATCAAAATAAATCCTTACTTAAAAATTTATTGGCATCATGTGTGATCAAATCTGCCCCTCCCCACCCTTGTTACGAATCTGACCAACACAGAAAATACTTCCGAAAGTAGTGGTTTTTTGAAGACAAAACTTTAGTGATCACCAAAATCCAAAAGCAATCTCAGTAGCATATATACTATTCCCTCTATTTTAAATTATAAGACGTTTTTTTTAAAATTCATCGCTTTATCTATTCATCTAAACATATACTCCCTCAATTCTAAATTAGAAGTCATTCCAAGTTTCTTGAAGAGTAAAAGCATCTCAAGGTTAACCAAAATTATAGAAAGAATAACAAAGATTTATGATATCAAATAGGTACTATGAAAATATAATTAATAAAAAATCTAATGATACTTATTTAGTATCATAAATGATATTATTCTGTTATATAGATTTGGTAAACTTGAAATATTTTGACTCTGCAAGAAACTTGGAATGGCTTATAATTTGAGTTAGAGGGAATAGTTTATATCAAAAGCTATATCTACAACCACCTAAAAAATAATTAAAGTCATCGTCTGCGTCGCTCCGCCCCACGGCAAAAAAAACACCGTAAAAAAAGTCCCCGTTTCCAATCCAATCCGAAAAAAATACAAAAAAACATTTCTGAAAAAATTATATACACAGCAAAAAAACCCGGCAAAAAATCCGTTTTAAAAACAAACTCTTCCACATCCCCCATTTCACAAACAAACTCTTCCACATCCCCGTTTCCAAAAAAAATACGGCAAAAAAATAACTAAAGTCATCGTTTGTGTCGCCCCGCCCGACGGCAAAAAAAAAAGACACCGAAAAATCAACGTCCCCGTTTACGGAAAAAAAGCATTTCCAAAAAAACATATACACGAAAAAAAACCCCGGGAAAAAAATCCTTTTCAGAAACAAACTCTTCCACATCCCCCCGTTTCACAGACAAACTCTTCCACATCCTTGTTTCCAAAAAAAATATGGCAAAAAAAAACGTTTGCGAAAAAACATATATAGCAAAAAAAAACCGTTTCTCTTTCACATCGAAAATCATATACAACAAAAAAAACAGTTTCCGAAATAAAATGTTCTACATCCAAAATCATATAAACTACTGATTATAGGTCGATGAAACCGATCATCGAGTTTGGCCCTGAAAAAACTTGGTCTCTTGGTCGACTACGGCGTCGAGTCCAATCAGCACCCGCGTCCCCAGTACTTAATAAATCGACAGGCGTTTTCATGATGTTCCCGAGGAGGTATTCGATGAACGGGCACGTTACTAGATGTCTCATCGTCGGTCACACATAGGCCCACATAAGGTCGCATGCCTCTGTAGCGGTGGCCGGAGACGGCGAAGACGAGGAGGAGTTGACCTGAGACATCTTCGAAGACAAGGAGGTGGTAGGCGGAGACGTCGTTGACGATGGTGCTGAGAATGAAGAGGAGGTGTGGTGTATGTACTCGTAACTATCAGCGAAGTTGATGTCGTAGAGCGTGACGACGGCGAGGGCAAGCAAGACGCGAGGACCGGTCAACAGTGACAGAGATCATCTGTGACAATGGAGTGCCCTTGTGGAGCTTCATGGCCACGAGGGGCGTACGCGAACGCAAACGACGAGAAAAAAAAAATCCTCGCGGACGGACACTCCAACATGAAAAAGAGGACAAGGATGTAGAGAGTAGATGGAAAGATAATGTGGTTCCATATATATATATATATATATATATATATATATATATAGTTTAGTGTCGCCAATATAAATTTGTGTATTAGTTTTTTTTATTTTCTGAAAATAATCAAATTTGTCATCATAGATGTGCGTGAGTAAAAATATGGCCCCTGTGCAACGTACGGGCATATATCTGGTATATTTATAAAAGCCAAAACATCTTATAATTTGGAATGGAGAGAGTACTCTGCATGAAATGATCAGTGCATAAAGTCATAAACACATATATTTTGAGATATGGTTCTATAAGAATCCTAAAAGGAGACCAAATAAAGATCTTCCAAAAGACAATTTTATACTGTAAATAAAACAGATTTGCACTCATATATTGTAAGCGGAACGCACGTTTTGTGCTGAAATGTGTCTTCCGCGAGATTGCATCTCGTTGCACTATGATCCACCAGCTCTAGCCAAATTTGTTTATTTTGATATCTTCTTTTGTTGACCGAGCTGGAGATTCGTTATACATGTCGCATTTAAAAATAGGAATCGTGGGACATTGGGACAGTATAAAATAAAATGCCTATGAATGATGGCTAACCACGCTTGCCGCGTGATTGTGACTGAACTTGGACTAGCACTAGCTGATGCATTACGAACATCCTGTGCCTGGATTGGCCTGCCTGCCTGCCTTTGGGATTATTGAAGCTGATGACGTGCAGGGCGGGCTCAATAATGCTGACAGCGATGTTTTTGCCCAATGGATCATTCTATAATTCCTTGATTTTTCAAACTTGACCTTATTATGGTCTACACATGCATACGACGAGATAGGACAATTGCATGGTGCATGTGCACGCATAGCTCTTATCAATTATCGTCGCTGTAGTAGAGTACGCTTATATTAGTTGGTTTATTACAGACGCACCTGTCGTGTCCTGATAGGATGTCGTTATTATCAGATCATCTTTGCATACGCAAATAGAAGCTGTTGGGATTGTTCTATCATTGCATCTTTCGATGAATATATTTTCCTTTCTGATCTTGGTGGTGTTTCATTTCGCAGAGTGCATGGTAGTAACGTGATGCTCGTGCCTGGGACAGGAACACGCTGGTGCGTTCTGGTACGGTGTTTCATCGTGCCTGCGCTGCGATACAGCTGTGTCCCCCAATCAGAAGCATCTGGTCACAGCCTCACAGCCGGAGGTGCACGTTTTATACGGAGTAGATTTGATGCTGTTCATCCTTGCCAGCGACTTGTACAGATTCCACATGCATATGTGTGCGGCTGGTTTTGGTTTGGTTTGAAATCGCTGTCTCAGGCATTTAAGTTTGATGAAGACGACCTGTGTGAGAAAAAAATATCACAATGCCGAATAGTAGAACGCATGGTTGGTTGCTAACCGCGCCTGCAACGTGGTTGTGACTCGTGACTCAATCGGCGCGGTCGGTTTCTGCTTGACGTGTTCCGCGTTTTGCATACCCTGTGGATGTGGGCTGTGGCTTAGGGCTGTTTGATCAATTAGCACTAAAATTA